TATTATTATTCTAATTTTTGCATAATCTATTTAACAAGATAATGTGTTTTTACTTAGCATTGTCTGAATAACGTACATATAAAATAAATGACTTCGGGTTTTTTTTTACTTCTATTTAATATATTTCACTCGCCTTTATAATAATTATCTTAACTTGTTGACATTGTAAAGCCGAATAATAAATATGTCACGAAAATTTGTTAATAGAAAAATTAATCGTTTAGCTTCTAAAATTAAGGTTAAAATAAATAAATAGGTGAAATATTCTCGCATTCTTTCTATTGTTTGTAGGTATTATCTGCCAAATTTTGCAGCTGTTCTGCAGCCATTAACTTAATTATAAATTTAAAAACAATATATAAAGTTATCTGCGATATTAGAAAAAAAAATTACAGCTTTAAATAATTTAGTTATACGTAATGTTTTTATGTATGGCGAGAGGTAAAGTTTTCAGTTAGTTACCTGAGGGTTATAGTCGAACACGCGAGATTCAGAACTAAATTATCTGTCAATAATGATCGTAAAATATTAAATTTATTTAATTATGTTTGATAATCTTTCAGATTTGTCAGGAATACTATAAATAATCTTAATTATTTAAATATTTATGCATTATTTGTATAAAGTTATTAAGTTGTAAAACGAACACATTTAAAGGATTCGAAACTAAATTAGTTATCGATAATAAGGTTAAATTGTATTTAATTAAGTTGAAGAAGCTCTTAAGTTCGCCAAGATTTTAAAAAATTACTTATATACAGTACATTAATTATGCATACTTTCGGATAAGTATAGATAAAATAATCAAGATTTTAATTAGTTATGCGAGCCTAAAGGTATTAATCGAACGTAATTAAAGCATTTCCAAACTAAATTAGTTATCGATAATGACCATAAAATCGTAAATTTAATTGCGATTCATCTGTATTAGTTATCCCATTTAGTCCTGTAAGATTAATATAATAGGATAACTGTTGTTAACTGAGCAAGTATGTAAGATTGAGATAGAGGCGAGGAGGACTGAGATATAAAATGACCCCTAGATTATCTCTTCCTGTGGTAGGCCGAAGAAAGTTACATCGTAATTCCTGCAGGGATTTTAAAGAAAGAAGATAAGGTGTCATTTCTGACTGATAATGTATCAAACATGTTATATTGAATTGGATAATGGAACTCTAATCCTCTACATGCGTTAAATAAAATATTTCAGAAGCGAATATGGCGTGAATTTACTTGCAATAGACTTATAAGGTAATGAATTTCTAAGAGGGATGATACACATTATGATATTCTAAGATAGGGGCATAATAAAAAAGAAGCATATCAATATGCTTAATGAACTAATGGCATTCCAGACTTGAATATGATTATCTTAAGAATTTATTTATCTATTTTACAACTTAAATATTGCATGAATGGTCAATTTGATCTCCAGAATATTCTGATTTTATTTTTTTTAAAAAGAAAAATTATATGTAAATTTTACTACAAAATGCACGACTCCATAGCGTATGTATCAAAACTATTTTAAGTCTATTTTATGGGGGAAAATAGGCTAAGACTGTTAATTTATTTCTTAATAGCACTGAAAGTTTCAGAAGTAATATTTAGATTATAAATTTTTACAGTCATTTTTTGGAAGGACCTATAATAATTTATCAGCGTTAGGAGAGTGTAAAAACAATGGCCAGTGTGTAATTAACAAGAAAAACAGAACATCGTGTAAAAGTTGTAGATTAAAAAAATGTCTTTTGGTAGGAATGTCAAAGAGCGGTAAGTTAATGTATTGTTTTAAGTTCCGCTTAATTGTACTAACAAGATCCAGGTTTCGATATTTTAAAGATAAAAACACCAACATCAATTTCCAAGTAACTTAAATGAGGGGTTGTAAAAAGAGTATCTCATGTTTGGCCCATATCACATGTATATGTATATATATATATATATATATATAAGTTACCTTTCACGCATCATACTAAATCTCTGCACGCCTTTAACAGTATAATATTTTTTTTTCCTCTATGTTTTTTAATGAAGACAAGAATATATGAGAGAAAGTAAAGTTGAAACTAGCTATCTGTATACTATATAATTTAAAATCGCAAAGAAACGCCTAAATCAAGATGTAGGTGGAAAGATAAGGCGATAAGTATAGGAAAAAAAAAAGAAATTCTTAACTGGATTATAGTAATGTTTCAAGTGTCCATGTGTGTGATATTGGTAAAGAAATTTTAATAATAATTTAAAGAGTAAAGAGAAAAATATTCTTTTATACTTCTTTAATTTAATTAATTTTAAATAAATGTAAACAAAGCATTTAATTAGACAAAACTCGAATTTAATTCGTCAGAAAGAAATAATAATTGAGATCTTAATGTATTTTAAGTACAAGTCGTGTTCTTGATTCGAAAATTCAATTAAATCTGAAATAAGTAAAGCCCTTTTTTTTGGGGTTAAATAAGATAAGTGTAGACAATGGAAGGTGGGTTAAACATTCAAATTATATAAATAATTGAATCAAAAGTTATCATTCAATTACTGACATTAGTTAGATTTCCATTACGTTAAAGTTGATCGTGATGAGATTCTGTCATTTTAAAATTGTTCTCTTTGCATTTAAACTAGATCTAAATTAGGCTATACAAGATGGGGAGTTGAATTAGTAAAATACAACATTCATCATCTTAAAACGTGAATATCATTAAAACTGCTGATTCATCAAAAGATATCAAATTGTTTTCAAATGTAGGAGTATGCTTGAAATATTTTCATAACTTAATAATGTAGTAAATTTTTTTTTTAAATAACAACTACAGAATTATACAGCTATATACTATATTAATTCGAATTTAAGACGTATTCTCACCCTTAAAACAGAGTGGAAAAAGTTGAATAATGATCAGAAATTAAGGATTAAAATTGTTTATAATATGTAAATTAACAGAACATATTATACAATTTTCACGACGTATATACTGACCAAGAATACTCTCAATTTAAGAAGTGTCCCCATTTTTTGAGATGGAATTTTCAGAGAAAATTGAATGTTAATTCGACGCGAATTTAATTTAAAATAATTAATAAAGAATAAAATTATTAATAACATATTTAATATAAAATATAATTAACAAAAAATATTTATATTTATATTTATTTAATCTTATGNGTATGTATTTTAAACAGAAACATTCCCAAAAATTGGACGTTGTAGAGAGATCTTTATATATAAATGTAAATTAAGAAAGAATAAAAAATAAAAATAGAAAACTTTAACGTTAGAAAGTCTTGGTTATGATTTACATATTCTTTCTAAAATAATTTTTATTTACTCTATTATTTTAGAAAATAGAACATTTATAAGCCCGAAGCTAAACTTAGTTATTTAGCCTCATCAAAACGTTGAATATACACTCCTATTTTGCATAATTTTGAAAATATCATGTAATAATCGGTTTGAATCAATGCTATCTCTCTGCAATGTATCCTAATTTTCAAAGTCACAACATATCATAAATCATAATATATATTACAATAAGAGGCCTTCATAAAGTATACTTAAAGACACAGAGTTATAATTTCCGAATGCAAAATTATACTATTATTAATAGAGTTGTAAATAATAGTATATATTATAACATAAAGAAAGGCGAGCAAATTTATTTTTAATGATGCTTTGTTCTTATAAGATGCTGAATATCAAAAATTTTGTATTATTTTAAGGAATTTTATTTTTCCGGCTGTTATATATAACAGGGAAAGTATGACACCCTCCCCCAAGATTTTTACATTTTTGGCTTCGGAGGACCTTGAAATGTCGAAAAATGCAAATAAAGTTGGGATTTTTTTCTGAATGTATGGATTTTAGTATTGTGGGGGAAAGCAATTTTTTCATTTCACCTACTTTAAAGCTTAATAATTTCTATGCCTTTTGTCGAAAATTTCTGAAATTCGGCAGAGAGAATTGTGTATTAGGAAAGAATATTTCTAGAAATTTTCATGAAAATCGGATTATTGCTTCGGGAGATATGATCTTTACTCCCTTAATATCTCCCTAACAAATCTGAAGATTTAAGTGTAGTGGTAGCAATTACTTAGATGAAAACAAAATAAATAATGCCGGAAAAATCAAGCAACAGCATTAACAGCTTTTGTTTTTTTAAGGATTTTAAGGTTTCGTATGAGATATTTTGTGTTATTTTTTGAATGATAAATAGCATCAATTATTTTGAACAGGTTACAAATCAATTTGATCAGAAGCATTTTATCATTTTCATCTAAACAATGGATAAATATAGTAGTTTGTAAAAATTATGCCCTTGTTATTTTACCTCGAATTATGTATACTTCTATGAATATCATAAATGATTCAGGTATAATTTTAGTAAACTAAATTGAAATCAATTTTCTTTTTAAACTCTTACGAAACTCTGCGACTGCGATTAGACTTAAATTATTACCGCGGTATTGATATAGTTTAGTAAATAAATTTAAAACTTAAAAAATATTTAAGAATTCTTCTGGGCTATCAATTTAACGATCGTGTTAACGGCTTATTAGACATGCTAATATATTGTATATAATGAGCCAATTACGAATATTAAACAATGTTCGTAACTGGCTTTGAATAACAATGTTATAATCGTTTATACTTTGAATGGTTTTAAATTACATATTTCTGTTATTATTGTTTTCTTGTAGGATCCAGGTATGGACGAAGATCCAACTGGTTTAAAATCCATTGTTTAATACAAGGCCAAGAAGACATAAGTACAAGGTTATCCGAACAAAACGCACTATCAAATGGGGATTTGCATCCAAATTCCAGGGCTTATTTAACACCTTATATTGGACACGATGGTGATAGTGATACGTCGAGTAAAAACGGTTCACAGTCTTCCCCAGACGATGTCATCACTAAACACAATGTTGGACAGAAATCATCATCTAATGGTTATCTTCCAGACTCAAATAGTCCATCGTTCGAATGGAAAGAAAATATGACATTTCCATTATCCGTATCAACTATGTCATCGATCAATTCGAAAATATTCCATACAAATAATAGCCCTTTATTAAATAAAGGTTATTCCAACGCATATCCAAGTGACTTTTTTCCATATGCTCAAAGATACATATTGGTTAATCCCATACCTCCCGTATTAAAATCTCCCACCGAGGGTATACCATTAGGTATGGACTGTTTATCGGATGTATCGGATCAAGAGAAGCCAATGGACTTATCTGTAAAAAAGTCACCCATTCCAGAACCTGAATTATCCATTGATGAAGAAGAGAAAATTGAAAGTGAAGAACCAGTCGACGTAGTTGAAGAATGTACTACATTATCAGAGAAACCTCTAGATCTTACTAAAAAGTTGTGATATATTCACGTTGACATCTCCTGTACGTTTAAAAGCTAGACTCTGTACAGTCAAGCGATGAAAAGATATCAGAAAAAAATAATAATAATAATAATTCATTATAAATCAAAGACGTACTGAAGGAGATGTATCATATGCATTTATTATTTATGGTCCCATTTCGTACGGACATCAATATATATATATATATATTATTTTTTTTTATTTGATGTCGAAGTTCAAGGCCAGTTTTTCACCAAGTGCTTTATTATGTGTATATCCAAGGTAACAATTTGTGAATTATTGCATTAAGTTCTTTCGCTTAGCGTAGAAAATGTGACAAATCACGTGGTTATTCGTGTCAGGTAAAAATATTAAGTGGAAAAAGATTATAAGTCTAATGCTGTGATGTAAAAATAANTAAAGGCTGTGAACCCTACTACGTACTGTGTGGAGGGATGTAATTTTAGAGATAGGGAGACTGTCCATGTCGATCGTTTGAAGGTGTGCTACGGACAACCTGTTAAAAGAGTAAGGTACGGAGAAAGAAAAGGGGGAAGAAAAACGGAGCCTAGGGATGATGAAATAGAAGATGAAGAGGAGGGTCAGGATGGGATATGGAACAGAAGAGCGAAGAACAGGGACATCAGAGAAGGGGGTGTTGGCAACGTCGATAGTAACGAGGGCAGCGCTGATGAAGGTGCAAATAGGGGGCCGTATAATTTAAGGCATCGCGAGATTGACTTCCGTAGATTACACTACGGTAGTTAATGTTTTTCCGAGGGAGATATGTAGCACTTCGTGGCTATGATTGTATTATATTTTTTTTTTTTTTTTTTTTTTTTTTTGTTTTCCCTTTTCTCAATCTTCTTTAAAGATTGCAAACTTTAATTGTATAATAATTAAAAAATAGAGAAATGTTAATGTTTTATTATTATTATTTGTTTAAAAAGTTACATGTAAAAAATTATATTGTAGTTTAAACTACAAAAAGTGGATACTAGGGCATTTTATAACAATTTAATCTCCACGATCTTCACAACAAATGTGATTCTTTTTACATAAGATATGTGGATACTTGTACTTCTTTTTAGTATATATATACATATATATATTATTTTTTTTCTTTTCTGAACTATATATTTTTTTATCAGGTTTCCAACACGTTGTATAATGTTTATATTAAAAAAAAAAGAAAGATACAATACATTCCATGTATTTATACTTGAGTGATCTTACAGATTTTACTACAATCAAACTTAAATGTAAATTTTTTTTGTTTGTTTAATAAAAAAAAAATGCCTACTGTTTTTAAATGTCGAGTGGAAAATTTAATTATATACACGATTAAAATATTAATTTTTGAAAGGAAAATATATTAAGGAGAATTAAATTAATTAATCTTCAACAGTCCTGAATAATTCCTTTATTTTTTTCCGTATATTTTCATGTTAATTTGGCTGTTTTACGACATTTAAATCATTTCTAACTTGAATGACTGGTTTAAAACATTTCGATTAATGAAATTAATAGAGTCAAAATTTAGGTTAAGTATACAACAAACGTCATTCACTTTAATAATTTGAATATATGTAAATTAATCTTTAGTACTTCCTGGTTATTGAGCCCCTTAGGTTAACCAAATGGATCATCACTAAAACGAAAGGTTAAAAAGTCAAGACTACTGAGATAAATTGTAATTAAATCATGTTCATTTATAGAAATAATTATATACATTCTTTTAATATATTTTAATGTAAATATTTTAATTTTAATTAAAGGTTTCCCTATGAAAAATAAGGAAAAATAGACATTTATTCCTTTTAAGATGAACTTTTTATTTCAGTAGCGAGTACTAGTAAAATTAAATTGATGAATATATTACTTTAAATATTAATAAATTATTAAATAATTCAAAAATTAATTTTTTTTCCTAATAAATCTTAACATATACAGTATTAACATGCGAATTTACAGAAAATTTCTGCATAATATAGAATTTTAATTTTTAAAATTTCATTAAAATTACAGATTGAATAGAAACTTTCTTTCAAACTTTAAACAAAAATTATAAAATATTTTCATGAAAATTTACAATTGAACGAATTCTAGAAAAAAGTATTATTGTAATTGAATACATTTCTTAAATTTATAGAAAAATTGTATCTCTATAACAATTAATTTCTATTTCATTAAAGAAAAAAATACAACTGTAACTGAACATTTTTCAACGACATCTTCCAGTAATTGAATATTTTTTAAAATCAATTTCTAGAAAAATTATCGTTATCCGTTAAACATTATTGCAATTAAGTATTTTTGTTCTAGAATTCTAGAAAATCATTTTAAAAAAATTGAACTCTAACGACATCATTTTTTTTTCTACGAATGTTATGCAAAAGATGCTTAAATTACGTGTATTAATAGATTATTTTAAAACTATAGATAAATTTCTAAAAAATGATTATTCCGGCATAAACCAATGACGATTAGAAACCGGTTTCTTCACAATATACAACAGTAGATTACCATTAACAAACATAGTTTCGTGGTGAATAATTGGTCTTATATGTCTTCTGAAGGTCTTCAGTCTCACGATTTTGTTAGAAAGAACAATGCACAATAGAAGTTGAATACATCCGCTGTTATAATAAAGTTCAGTATATTTTGATTCTTATGAAAGAAACTTTCTGCTAATAATCAATAATATGAGATTACCATAACATTGTTTATTTCTTAAGAATTTCTTTTATTTTTTTATATAAAAAGTTTAAAATCTTCTTGACTTTAGATTACATTTTTTGTAAAGATTTAATGATTATTTCTCCTACTTTACATCACTCTCCTCTTAGCATCTCTTGTTAATCCGCATCTTTTTCTATAAGAAAAAAAAATTTAAGGATAAAATTAAAAGTGAATTTACAAATTATTGTTCTAATTACATTTAAAAAAAGAGGAAAAAGGCAATTTTATTTTCTTTTTCTAATTTTTTTTTATTTTCTAGAAAATGAAATGTAATGATTTCTAAAGTACAGGTTTAGAAACTATGCCAACGATACAGAATAATAAGCATACAAAATTCATTTTCCCCACAAAAATTACGATGAGAAAATTAAAAAATATATTAAAAAAAACGAAAGTAGAATATTATAACATTATCTCGTTATTTAATTTACGAAAATGCAATTATTTTAATTAATTAAATTAATAATGCAATATATAAATATAATAACAATTTTTTTCAAATTATAATGGAACTTTAATCCAATTTAATTACGTTATTCATTAATTAATTATATTCTTATATTTATTACATAATGTTGGATCATTTATAGTAGCATTTTTGTATTATATTATTCATGAATAATGCGATAATGATACAATATGTATTGTTTCAATTTTTAGCCATTTAATCTCTGCTATATCTAAAATTACAATANATAATTTTATAATTTTTAATAAAATTTGAATAATATTTAAAGTATTAACTCGAAATAAACGGTTTAAACCGTGTATAACGCGCGGGCGCAAATGTAAATATAAATTAACTGGTTTGCTTATAATGCTCAAGCTAGTAATTTTAATTTGTTTCTATAATTATTTTTACTTTTACCGGTCTCAAAAGGAATTCACTTCAATCAATTTTTATTGCTTAACAACATCTCAACAAACTGTTTATACAAATGTTCATTCTTGAACTGGTAACATTTATCAATTGCAGCATGCTCATAATTGTTTCTTTTTCCTTTTTTTTACTGTCTTCATCCTTGATTAAAGGTTAAAAATAAATAGATAACATCCTCTAAACAAAGATTTAATACAAGCATTTGAAGTAATAGGAATGATTAACAATCACTCAACTAACAAAAACAAAAACTTTAACTAGATTGTTCTTCAACCTCTTCAGCGATGAAGGTCGTAGGTCTTATATGAGGTCAAAATACCAAGAGAAATTAAGTTAGAGGTTAGAGAAGAGGTGACGGAAAATGGTACCTCTAGACGCACTTTTATATGTCATGTTTGTTCACCGAGACAATTAGTAAGATTACTAGGTTCCAGTATTCTTCATCAACCCAAACATTGTCAAACAGGTTAGCTGACACTAAGGGTCAAAGTAACCTCTCCCATGTCACCACAGGGGATAAGAAAACTTTGACTTGTCTAACTGAATAAATGACTTTCATCTACATGATTTTAAACCTTAGTTCAAGTTAACTCTGTTGAATAATTACGCACGTTTTTCTGTTATTCTCTAAACTTCCGGGCTTATACTTGTCATCTTTTTAAGTTTTCCCGGAAGAAATGTTCATTGTGTGATCTATTGCTATTTTTTCTTAATCAAAGGATAGTGACTCAACAGGGCGCTTATAGTTCTGTTTTGACACGAAGTTTATGCTTCTGGCTGATTAATCTTTGACTTCAGAATGCTCATGTAAAAAAAGGGTCAATGTTCAACCGCTTTTAACTCGCCGATATAAGGTTCTGCTTTATTTTTAATGAATAGATGAGAAAATTAATTAAATTTTTTTTTTTATTTTAAAGAATATTTACAGTTTTTCACGTGGTTTTAAGATGGGTAAACACTTAAAAAAACGCGTGTAGAGTTGGGGGAAAAATACAGAATGTGCGGTCTATTGACTCTTAGATTAACCTATAACCTGAAACAATTTAACAGATAATTTTGTGCTGGATGTATACTTATTTTTTGCCACCTTTTTTTTCCTCTGACTAGGAAGAAAACTACTAAAAATTGTGTACATACTCTCAATTTAGATTCACGGGGTTAAATATTTCAGAATTAACTTTTCTAAATAGTACTTTTAAACCCGGTTGACCCCGCAATGAACGATAAAAATACCTCCAGGATACTCTTTACTATCGGATTGGAATTCCAAATTTCACAACGTATCATCAATACATATTCCCTTATCATCCTTATCATCTCATTTAACGAACGAAGAGGAAAGGAAAAGAAAAAGGTATCATTTTAACAGAAAACTTTTTAAAATTTCACTCTAAAAATTTCTTAATGCGGAAGTTTTTAAATAAATTAAATGTATTCAGATAATATTATTTTTATTTTTTTCTGACCGCATTCGTGAGCGTAAAGGTAGTATATATGCTTCAAATATAATTTTAACTAATTTATGTAAATTTGGATAATATTTTTCTATTCTTATTAAAAACGAAAGATATTTCCTGTATTTTTCCACTTTCTTCCTCATAACTTTATATAATGCAGACATAAAAAAAAAACACTCATGTATATGCAAGAGATACTTTATGTGTGTTTTATATTTTAAAATTATCATCATAAAAGTTATTTTATTAATATTTCTACGATCTTAACCACTGAAAAAGAACCTGAAAACCCCGACA